GTGTGCTAAGAGTCTGTGTTGACCTTGCTTCTAATGTATTAGCTGGTTTTACCCACGATTTGTGCGCCTCCTCCAGCTTATATACCGCAAAATCAGCTTTCCCTTCTTCCGTATCTGTGACCTGGATCAATTTGTAGGCGACAGACGGTCGGTCTGCCTCCTTTTTTGTGGCCCAATCCCCTATTGACCACTTAGATTTGCTTTTCAGAAGGAGCACCCATTTGAGCGGGATGCTTTCTATGATTTTGTGTAGGTGTTCCTTCAGATTATGAACCCCTTTGAGTTTGGATCTGAGTTCTTGTTCGGTGGTCCATCTGTTTTCGTCCGGGTTCCATATGTGCTCCATTTTCCACACTCCTTTGCTCATCCATTTTCTCCACTGTCTGCCTTTCGTGTTTAGGGCCCATACTCTGCCATTGTGATTTGTCAGCAGGGAATTCCTCCTCTCTTATTCTTGGGGTTGTTGACTTTTGCGGAAAGCAGTTTCTCCAGTGCTTTACTAGTGTAGTCCAGTGTTCACTTGGTGGGTCCTTGTCTTTCGATGTTCCTGCCCTTTCCTTCCTTCTTGGGGTCCATGAGGGATTGAGAATCCAATGGTATCCCTCTATGGAGGGGTCAACTCTGAACGGCACCAGGTTACGAATCTGCTAGAGAGTCATTTCGTGCCAAGGCAAATCCCTATTGAAAAGGATTTTTATTATCCACTTGTGTTGCAAAGCTTGGAATTGTACTGCGGGATTCAGGAGTCCTAGTCCACCTTGGACTTTGGGTCTGGTGATGTACTTCCAGGCCACTTTGGAGATGTACTTTTCTTTTTCTGCTTTTCCCGTCCAAAGGTACGCTCCTAGTTTTCTTTTGAGAGTTGTGAAAAAACTTGTTGGTGTGTTCCAAAGAGATGCTACATACCGCCCCGTAGATAGTATTGCAGTATCAAGTACCAGCACTCTTCCCATTAGTGATACATTCATTGCTTGCCATCCAACCATTTTGTTTGTCATTTTAAGAAGGAGACTGATGCCTGATACATTACTTGTTCCTTTAGTTGAGATTTGGATGCCGAGAAAGCGCATCAATTGTTGGGCATCCAGCCATTGTATGCCCTGGGTGGCTTGGGTTTGTTGGGGAGAATGAGAGGAGGCTAACCACCATCCGACTGTTTTGTTCCAGTTAATTTTCATTTCCGCTGCTAGTTGGAAGGCTTGCATGGCTTTTGTGAGGGCTTGAAAAGAAGAGTCAGATGCCCTTATCAGCACGGTTAGATCGTCCGCGAAAAGTATGGTTGTGGGTATGGGAAAGGACCTTCCGTCTTGTTGTATGGTTAGTCTTTTTATTGAAGGGTCCTTACAGAGGAAGGCTGCTATTGCTTCCATCACAAAACGGAAGATTGGTACTGCGAGCGGGTCTCCCTGTCTGACCGATCTGGACATTCTGTATTTTTCAGAAAGATGTCCATTGACCTGTATCATACGCCTGGCATCCCCGTATAATACTTTTACCCATCTGCGGAAGTTTGGTCCTACTCCCATTTTTTCCATGCTCTGTTGGAGGAAATCCCAGTTTACCTGATCATAAGTTTTTTCGAAGTCAAAGAATAGTATGGCCGCTTGTATTTTTTTATCTTTTATGAATTTGGTAGCTTAGTTTAGGGTTACTACGTTATCTAGTATGTATCTTCCTTGAATGAAACCTGTTTGGTTAATGTGAAAACATTTGTCTGTAATATTCCTTATTCTATTTGCTAAGGTATTGGCTAGAATCTTATACATTACTGATAGGAGAGTTATGGGCTATGTTACCGCGCGTTCATTGAACGCGCCTTTCGCGTTCAGTTTATGAACGCGATGAACGCGCGTTCACTGAACGCCCCTGAACGCGTTTGACGCATTTGCGCAGGGGGTTGTGCGGGGTGGGGGAGGCCTTAGGGCAGTGTGGGGAGCAGCGGTGGTGTTTGGGGAGGTTGTGGGCAGTGTGGGGAGCACTGGCGCTGGGTGGGAGGGGGCATTGTGGGCCAATGCACCAGACAAAATGAAAAAAAAAAAACAAAAAAAAAAAACAATGTGTCCGTATGATCCTTCTTTTTTTTTTCAAGGGGGAGGGAGAGAGGGGGAGAACCCCCTAACATGGCTCAGACAACCCATGCAGGCTGTCTGAGGGGTCCTCGCAGCCATGTGGCTCAGACCCCCCCACCAAGATTGAGGCAGGCAGTAAGTATGAACTACAGCACGAGCTTGCCGGATATATACTCAGGATTCAAGTTCAAGTTTGTGTTTAAGCAGTTATGGGTTGCTCAGGTAGCCAGGCCGTGGTGGTCTGTGCACGTCATTCTCAGGGCTACGCTGCACTACCTACCAAATGTGCAAAACTAGAATGAATCATCTGCAGAACATGGAATAATACACCGCCATATGTTTTGTCTTCTGTGCATGTGCTGAGTAGAGGCCCTTAGGGCCACTGCACGTATTCCTAAGAAAAGAAAAACGGTTTTTCTTCTTTTTTTGTTTTTCTTTTTTCTTGTTTTTCCTTTTTACTCGTTTTTTTTGCTTTTCTTAGGAATACGTGCAGTGGCCCTAAGGCCTCTACTCAGCACATGCACAAAAGACAACACATATGGCGGCGTATTATTCCATGTTCTGCAGAAGATTCATTCTTTTTTTTTGTTTTTCGTTTTTCTTGTTTTTCTTTTTTCCTCCTTTTTTCTTAGGAATACGTGCAGAGCAGCAGAGCCCCTAAGGGCCTCTACTCAGAACATGCACGAAAGGCAAAACATATGGCGGCGTATTTACTCCATGTTCTGAAGAAGATTCATTCCAGTTTTGCACCTTTGGTGAGTAGTGCAGCCAAGCCTTGAAAATCACGTGCACAGACCACCACGGCCTAGCTACGTGAGCGACCCATAACTGCTGAAACACAGACTTGAACTTGAATCCTGAGTATATATCCGACAAGCTCGTGCTATGGTTCATACTTACTGCCTGCCTCAATTTGGGTGGGGGGATCTGAGCCACATGGCTGCGAGGACCCCTCAGACAGCCTGTTTGGGCTGTCTGAGCCATGTTAGGGGGTTCTACCCCCCTCTGCCTCACCCTTGAAAAAAAAAAGGAGGATTATACGCACACACACACACACACAGTGGTGGGGGGTGACGTTGCACTTATGGCGGGGGTGGTGGTACTCCGTGGAGACTTTTTTTTTTTCACTTTCGGGGTTTCTTGAACGAGTGGCACCACCCCGTAGCCTGTAATGCGCACATGTGGGGCGCGCGGTCGTGTTCAAATTTTATGCGCCACGTGGCGCGCAGCGCGTTTGAACGCGGTCGCGCGGGGTATGAACGCGCGCGTTTGAACGTGAACGCGCGTTCGGCGCGTTCAACCGGTTACATAGGTTATGGGTCTGTAGTTTCTTATATTTGTGCGGTCACCTTTCTTGTATATCAGCGTGACCACGCCTGTACTGAAGTCCTCTCCTATAGAGCCTTTAGCGAAAGCTTGCTTGAAGAATTCGGTGACTGTATCCCCTACTAGATGCCAGTTAGCTTGCCAAAACTCCTTGGGAAGCCCATCTCTACCGGGGGTTTTGTTAGGCTGCATACTTTTAAGGGCTTCAAATAGTTTCGGCTTGGTAATCTCTTTTTTTAGGCTTTCCAATGATTCTTGATTGATACTTTTGTCTAGGTGCTTTAAGAATTTCTCTCTTGCTTTCCTCATATTGCCCGGATTTTCAAGGAAGGTTTTACATGCGTGTAGGTTCTGGTAGAAATCTGACGCTACTTTCAATATACCTTCTTGTGAAGTTTGCGTGTTGCCTAGGGAGTCCCTTAAGGCTTATATTGTGTTATTCTTGTGTCCTGTTTTGATCCTTTGGAAGAAATATTTTGTCATACCAATCCTTCACTCAGGCTCTTATGGCTAACCCTTGTCTTCTCCACTCTGCCCATTGACTAAGCTCTGTACACGCTTCACCGAGGAGCTGTTCGTATAGGCTTGCTCCTGGGTTAGATATTAGATTGAATTTTGCGATTTCCACCATGGCCTCAAGGCTTTGTTGTCTTGCCCTCCTTCTGCTAGCCTCCTTTCTTGAGAAGATACTCGCCCAGTGACTTATTTCCCGGATGGAACGTGGGAGGTCCCTTGTCAAAACTCCCTCTTTCAGTTCCTTTTTCGTTTCTTCCCACCTGATTTTGAATTCTTGTTTGAATGATTCTAACATGAGAAGTGAGGTATTCAATTTGAATTTTTTTTTCCCGGGGGAGTTATCTAGGGATAGAGCTAAGTTTATGGCAATCGGATTATGATCGTATCCTTCATAATGGGGAATTTTTCCTATTGCGGTGCCTAGAACCGCTCCTTCCAAGGAATCTGATACGAGGAATAAGTCTATCCTTGAGAAGGAAGTTCTGCCCTGCATTGTTTTCCTAATACAGGTATAGTCTTTTTTCTCTGGGTTAAGGATCCTGTAGGGATCTTTAAGGTTATTCTCTGTAGCTAAGTGGGCCAAAGCCGTCTCCGCTGGATCTAGCGAGGTCTGTTGTGCCCAAGAGATTCTGTCCAACTGGGGGTTTGGGGTGTTGTTCCAATCTCCCACCAGAATCACGTGCTTTTGCAGTTGTATTAGACTTCCTATCTCTTCGAAAAAGGTCACTCTCTCCGCTGATGAGTTTGGGGCATATAGATTTATTACGATGATATCTTCTCCCTTGAGTGTTAACTCCAATTTGGTCCATCTGCCTCTTACTGCATCCGTTACCGTTGATACTACTTGTAATTTGTGTGTAGCTATTGCGCGGTTGTGTACTAAGGTGATGACGCCTGCTGAGGTTGATTGCGGGCTGTGTGCTGAAACTGCTGCAGCGCAGTTTTTTAATCTACTTATGATTTCTTTTTCAACTATACTGTGTGTTGGGGTGTTAGTGATGTCATGACAGTTGCTAGCCCCCTCACGTTCCAGGACTGAATCACTAGGTCCCCCCTTGGTGCCTTCATGGCTTATTGTGTGTGATCTTCCTTTGAGACTTGTGTTTATCCTTCTATATCTCAGAGCCGCTGCCCGTGTCCTCCTCTAGTGAGGTGAGATAGGATGGTAACCTGTTCTCATCCTGTCCCAGTGCTCCTGATTCCACCAATGTTGCAAGTGCCACTGCATTTTGAGTCATGGTTGTTACACCTCCTAAGGCTGTTACTGGTAGTGCCGCCATCCACCACCATAGTTTCCACTGTAAACCCTCAGAGAGTTCTGATCCTTGATCCAACCAGACTATCAATGGCCTTGCATCCTGCTGTGTTAGATTTTCTCCCTCTGATTCTTTGTCTGTTTCCAAATGTTCCTCCTCTCCTTCCTTTTGTTGTTTATCTGCAAGCCCCATGAAGATTGGTTTTCTCCTTTTGCTGATCTTTTTCAACACGTCTTCTTTCTTTTGTCCCGGTCTCCATCTCATTATTGATAGGTCTTTGTGGACTACTATCTTCCAATCCTCTGTTAGCAGGTCCTTTTGGACTGGGATTACCGCTCTTGATGGGAGCAGGGTGCTTGCTTCTTTTTCTGCCCTCTTCCAGAACTCTTCATGAGCCTTGTGGCGCAGGTCCTGGATTGTCACTTTGCGCAGGGAAATCTCCCGGTACAGGTCAATTAGCCGGTTGTTTTGGGCATACAGTGCCTCAACCTGAATGCCCAGCTGTGTGGCTGTTGACAACATCCTGCTTTGTTCCTCCTGCCCCTGTTGTTTCCCTTGGTCTATCAGAGCTTGCGAAGGTTTGTAGCTTGGCAACTTTGCCCCCTTGTTTTGATTCTTCTCCTTCGACATGCTTGAGTTGTCTTCTTCAAAATACATTTCCAGATCTTCCTTGGTTGCAGCGTATTTTTCTGCGAACAAGGTAGCCAGTTCCTCTTCTCTTTCCAATGGAGCGAATGGATTTTCAGACAACGAGATGAGTTGCGATGGGTTGGGGCTTTCTGCATTCTGTTTGCTTTTCTGTTCTTCCCTGTGCGGAATCAACTGTAGCTCAAAATTGTCTTGTCTTAATCTTTCATAGGTCAGGATGTACTCCAACAGCTCCTTTTCCTGTTTGCCTGACCATGGGTACTCTTCCAATTCTGGGTTGCCTTGTTCCTCGTCTATGTCCTCTCTTTCCTTTTGGCCTTCATTGTGTTTCCTCTTACCTCCAACTGTCGGATTTTCCTCTTCCTCCCCTTCTTTCATCATTGTGTCTCTTGCGCCCCCTTCCATGCTTTGATCTGTTCCCTTTGCCTCAATCCCCTGTCCTTGGTTGGATTTTCCTCTTCCCTTCTGTGATCTTCTGGAATATGTTTTCTGCTTGGTTTGTTCCCCCCTTGTTTTCTCCTCTTCCAGATGACGTTTAACTGCATTCACCCAATCCCTTTCTGTGGTTTCCTGTCTTGTTTGAAGGTCTGCTCGTAAGTCTTTCTCCCAGATCTCTTGCTGCAGTGCGTTCACGTTTATCACTGGGTCTTTGATGAAGCATTCTGGATGTTTTCTTTTTGCTTTGAGTGTTTGCCATCTGCTGTCGAAGGGCGGGTACACATCCGGTCTGGGAATCGGCTCCCCGTTGATGGTCTAGACCCAGTCCGGTGTATCCAGATTCTCGTTAAAAACCCTACCTGCATATTGATCTTCTGGGATGTACCAGTAACCTTTTTTGTTGGTTACTTCCAGAAGATTTGCTGTTTTGAGTGGTTTGGGTTAAGCAGTCTCTCTTGTTTTCGGGCAGTTGGCGTCTGTTCCCAGGTGACCCCTTTGTCTGCACTTGAAGCATAACGGATTGCTTTTGCTTGACACTGCTATCCTGATGATTTTGTTTTCCTGCGAAAAGAACCGTTCGTCTGGGGTGAAGGGGGCTGAACAGTCTCCCGTTTCCAACACTACTGTCATCTGGTTGTGTTGTGGTGTTAGAAAATCCGGGGTTGAAACTATCCACTGTACTTCTTTGAAGTGTCCGTATTCCATTTTGACCCTCTCTTTCACGCTTCCATGCATTCCTTCTGGTACATTATCGAACTGAATCCAGAAATGTTTTTTAATTAGTTCTTGCCTGTACCTAAAGGGCGTCTGCTGATAATTGGGTGGTTGTTTCCAAAGGTGCACTGTGCCCACCGATGAGTTGCAGGTGAAACACTTGCTCTTCAGAAAATCGGCGAGTGCTTCTTCCATACACAAGACCATGATGACGTTTATTGTCCTCAGGTGAAATGACACTTTTGGTTTTTGCCCCTGAATTGGTTCCAATGTTTTCAGTTTTTCCCAAATCCATTTCAATTTAGCCTGTCTGTCGAGTTCCTGGCCTTTTTTTGGAAAAAGTAAAAAGCACTGCGTGTTTCCTGTGGAGTTCCTCTTGCTTGGCCGTCAGTTCCCTCGGACATTCGTAGACCACCACTTCTTCTTTTTTGTTTCCCCCATGGTCAATACATTTGGTGGTTTTGATCAATGTTGTTCTAGTCTGTTCTGTGAGCCAGTTTGGAGTTTCAATTCCCATTCCCTCCATTGCTCTGACCGATGGTTCTTATCTCTCTTCCGGTCTGAGTGAAAACGTATGTAGGTGGGTGGGTGGGGGGGAAGGGAGAATAGGGGGGCAGGTGTTGCATACCGTAAAGGTGCAGGCAGAACAAGAGCCGACCTCTCAATGCAAAGTACAAGATGGCGCAAACGAAAGACCTAGATACCAATGATCTGATCAATCAATGTTGCAATGCAGTCYAGAACATACATCCTCATCATCATCCCAGGGTGTGAAGGGGTCTGGCGCTTCACACAGGAAGACTGCGCCAGCCCCACACATACACAGACGAAGATGAGGGGGTTTAGACGAAGAGGAGGGAAAGATGRGAATGTCGTAAACACCAAGTCTTCGGCACAGGCCCAAATAGTCCCTCGTCAAAATGTCTGAATCCCAAATGCCGAGTCTGTATCCAATGTCGTCAAGTCTCAAGTCATATCTCTCTCTCTCGTAGTCCACAGATACTGAGAAGTAGGCAGCGAGAGGGGGAGAAGAGGTGGTGGACTTAGAAGAGGAAGAAGAAGAACTCTCTCTCTCTCTCAGTCCAGTACTAACCTGTGAAGTTGGCGCCTTGATGCAGATATCACGAAGATGGAGTTGGAGCGATGGCGCCACAGGTACGTACCACTGGTCTCCGCCAGTATCTCTCTCCTGTATCACTACTACTACAGCGCCCAGCGCTGAGGACTACAGCTATGGCGCCCAGCGCCGAAGACTACACTAGCGCTAAGCTGCCCTCGAGCAGCGCTNTATCACTACTACTACAGCGCCCAGCGCTGAGGACTACAGCTATGGCGCCCAGCGCCGAAGACTACACTAGCGCTAAGCTGCCCTCGAGCAGCGCTCCTCCTGAGTGCTGCTCCGCTATCCTGAAGACTACCCTGACTACTGACTGACTACCTACCCGTGAAGTGCCTGGGAAGGTCCTATGTACTACCACGGGTGCCTCCTGACTCGTGCGAGCAGTCCAGGAGGCTGCACTTGCCAATGCCRAAGGGAGGCAGGGGCTGCAGCTGCAGCTCCTGCTCGAGCTCGTGAGGAACAGGCTATTTCTGGCCTGTTCCGCATCCCTGTTTACGTGCCTGAGTCTTAGGGGCAGGTCGAAACAATGAGGGCCTGAAAATGGCCCTCTGTTTCAGGCTGGAAAAACTCTAGGTCTGAAAGGCTGAAACGGAGTAGGGCCTGCAGGCCCTCATTTTTCAGCTTTCATGCTGAAACGACTGGGGCCTGTAAGCCCTCAGTTTTAGGCTTTTAGGCTGAATGTCCGGGACGGGCCCTGCAGGGCCCGTGTGGCTATGCAGTATGCCCCCCCCCCCCCTCCTTGAAGAACCGAGCTTACCTGCGAGGGCGAAGCTGTCTGTCTGAGGGAGGGACCACAATCCGGGTGGGAGGGGCTGGTCGTGAAGCTGAGCTAACCTCCGCTTTTCATAATGCGCGTAGATCAGCGGTGCGGAAGCTTTCAAATCTGCGCCTGAAATCCACCGAGTGTCGTCGCGATCGCATGCTTTGAATGTGACTTTGTACTGCCGCGGCTTGCTGCCGTACTTGCGATCGGAGATGACGCGGTCAACTTCCTGATGACCATCTATAGAAGGAGGGTCCTGCGATCGTCGGCCCGAAAAGTCGTCGCTCTTGGCTGGCGTGTATGTTGCCAGCTTTGAGGCGTGGAAGACCGGATGGACCGTCAACTGCTCTGGAATGTTCATCACAAAAGAAGGGCCATCGGGCTCATCGCCCGCGGCTGCTGTTACAGACCAAGGTCCAAACCACATAAGAAGCAGTTTGCGTGAAACATCCTGTTCCAGTGCAAACTCTTCCGCGGAGACCCAAACCAGATCACCGGCGCGGATGGGACATGGTACGCGACGCCTGTTGGCTTGCTGCTACATACGGACTTGAGCCTTTTGCATATTTGCGCGGGCTTGAGTCAGCAATTCCCTGTACTTCCGGACGGAAGCGGGAGAGCAGGCAGCGTCAATGTCGGCTGGTCGAGGGAGGAGAAGGTCGGCGAAGATACGGCCTTTCCGTCCACCGTGGTGCAACTCGAATGGAGTCACGCCGATCGCCGGGTGCACCGAAGTGTTGTAGGCCAACTAGATGTCGGGGAGGCGGTCAACCCAATCTTTCTGGTCCGGACGGATGAGTGTACGAAGCATCATTTGAGCGGTTTGATGTACCCGCTCAGTCTACCCGTCTGTCTGAGGATGCCGAGCCGAACTTGGTTTCATTGTTGTGTCGGACTCCTGCATGAAAGCAGTCCAAAACGCCGACATGAAACGAGTGTCGCGGTCACTGACAATGCCTTCTAATACACCGTGGCCACAAATCCAACCAGTGTGCAGGAGGCGTGCCAGCTCGGGAGTCGTGGAGTAGTACTTGCAAGGGAGAAAGCGCGCGTACTTACTCAATCGGTCCACAACCGTGAGGATGCCGTCGTGCCCGAGCCGGTCGCGAGGAAACGGACCGGTGACGTCCATGGCAATGGAGAGACCGGGTTCCCGTGGGATAGGCATCGGGTGTAACTCGCCATAGGGATTGCGGTTGCGGGGTTTGCTGCATCGGCAAACTTCGCATGAGTCGCAATACCGAGTGACATCGGTAATGAGGTCAGGCCATCGGAATCGCTGTCGAAGCCGTGCAATAGTGCGGTTGACTCCGAAATGGCCGGCGAGTCGCGAATCATGATACTCGCTGAGGCGGCGAGTCCGAAGACGACGGTCTCGTGGGACGCATAGTAAGTCCTTGCCTCTCGAGTGGAGGAGCAAGTACCCGTCGACAATGCCGTAATGGCTGACCGGCGGGTGATCCGAAGATAGTTGTGCATAGAGCGTGCCGAAGTCCGGATCAGACTGATATGCCCGGATGAAGTGTCGCTGAAGCTCCTCGTCGAWTGCGAAGGCATGATGTGTCATAKCGCAAAGATCAGGTCTTCRCGAGAGTGCATCTGCTGCGCGATTGGAGAGGCCGGGGACATGTTTCGGTGTGAAGTCAAATTGGTCGATGAAGTACATCCATCGCCCGATCGTGCTGCTCACCGTGTCCTGCGCCTTGTAGTAGGTCAATGGATTGTTGTCTGTGACCCATGTGAACCTATGACGCCCAAGGAGGAAGTGCCAGTAGCGCTTGAGAGCCATCACGAATGCGAGCAGCTCCTTCTTCCTTGTATCATCAAGCTAGTTGATGGGAGGCACTTTGTGGCTGAAATACTCCATAGGGTGCCAGTCGTCGCCGTCGTGCTATTCCAAGACTGCACCAATGCCATAGCCAGAAGCGTCCGTAGTCACTCGCGTCGGCAGGGTGGGGTCATAGATGCTAAGGACGGGTGCCATGAGCATAGCCGTCTTAAGTGCTTGGAATGACCGGCGTGCGTCGTCATCGAATACGAATGGCACCTTTGGCGACTGTAACCTCGTCATAGGTGCAGCAATCCTGGAGTATCCGGTGATGAATCGCTGATAGTAGGCCGCCAACCCCATGAATAAATGAACGTCCGTGGTGTTGGTGGGCTCGGGCCATACTCGTAGGGCCTCGATCTTGTCCGCAARCGGACGGATGCCTTGCGGCGTCACATAGTGTGCCAAGTACTCCAGCTCCTGCTGTGCGAACTCGCACTTGTCGCGGTTTGCTTTGTACTTGGCCTGTCGTAGCCGCTCCAAAACGGTGCGCAGGTGTTCCACATGCTCGTCCAGACTCCGGCTGTATACCAGAATGTCGTCACGGTAGATAAGTACGAAACGATCCAGCATGTGTCGGGACTCCGTTGTCATAGCCGCTTGGAAAGTGGCTGGGGCATTCATAAGGCCAAATGGCATGACCAGCCATTCGAAATGCCCATACCGTGTCTTGAACGCGGTCTTGTAGTGATCCTCCTTGCGAATCTCGAGTTGGTGGTACCCTGACTTAAGATCCAACTTAGAGAAGAACTGGGCGCCGCCCAATCGCTCGAGAAGGTCRTCGATGCGTGGGAGAGGGCCAGCATTCCTGATCGTCTGCGAGTTGAGCTTGCAATAGTCAATGCACAACCGCATGTCCTTGTTCTTCTTCCGGACGAAGAGAACAGGAGCACCGTATGGCGATGAGCTAGGCCGAATCCAGCCTTTCTCCAGAAGGTCGTCGAGTTGTGCCCGAAGCACACCTAACTCTTCCTCGGTCATTCGATAGATGCAACCGCGCGGAGGTATGGCCCCGTCCTCGAGGATGATCTCGTGGCGGATGGGTCAATCCGGTACTACTTCGTGCGGGCCTTCGAACACGTCGCTGTAGGCGTCGAGAAGTTCGGTGATGCGTGGATCCGAAGATGAGTCCGTCGATGAAGCGTCTCGGGGCGGGAGGGCGTGGAGAAAACACACCCCCTCCTCCCGCGGAGAAAACACACCCCCATCTCCTCGATGTCGTCTCTGATGATGGAAGCTCGCATGCTTGCGGCGGATACCACGTGGCAGCTGATCGAAGGATGAGGAAGGGGCACCGTGCATGGAACTAATACTCCGTTCCGATCACGAACGTGAACGGTGCGGTTGAAGAAGTTCACCGGGTGATCCTCGCTTCGCAGCCACGACATGCCCAAGATCATGTTGAATTTGGTGTCCAGAATATCAAAGGACACCGCCTCACTTGCGTGAGGGGCGAAGTACACTGGGACGGCGTCAATGCACCGGTCGATTGACTTGTGCGTGTGACCGTCTGCCAATGTGACTTGCGTCGGCTGGGGCTTCCTCCAGACACGTGGGCCAAGGCCGGCGCGTACCATGAAGTCCTGGCTGATGTAGTTGCGAGATGCTCCGCAATCGATCAAGGCACTGCAGGTCGCCTCTCTGATCTGAATGCGTACGTATAGCAATGGTGTGTCGATGTCGTCGTACCGTTGCTTCTTGAACTCGCGGTCGATCTTCGCGATGTACGCGTGAAGGTCGACAACCTCTACTCTGGCGTCCATCAATGGAGCTGGTACTGCAGTGTGCAAGTAGTCCCGCAATTGTGCCATAAGCACGTTGCAATGCGGTTTCGACAATCATCCGGTCGAGGGAACGGGCATCCACTGGAAGTCCGTGAACGTCAATGGGTCGAGTTCTTCAAGTCTTGACCATGACGTCGAATCCCCGGCGATAGATTGCGGCGAAACTGCCGAATCGGTTGCCGATGGTGATGAAACCGTGCATGCGGTGGACTGTTGCACGTGGAGCGGTTGGTCCAGCGGTGGAACCAAGTGGACAACATAGTCCTCGTAAGTGTAACGAGAACTTGCGACATTCGCGTTCTCCCCAGATGTGCAGGAGGCCGCTAGCAAGGCGGCCGAATCTG